TGTGTGTGTGTGTGTGTGTGTGTGTGGACCTAAAGCTATTTTGCATTATGTTATACGGTTAATACTGCAAGGGACAATCCTCTGAATGTATAGAATATCAACTTTAATTCACTATAATATCATCTATCTAGTATTATATATTATAATTAATACTAATTTTCTTATATGGTCTAGTTCGATATGTCAAAACATGCCCTACATGAATTTTTTTATTATCTGAAAGTTCATTTTGCCCAAAAGAATAGACGAATCGAGTAGTGGGTAGCTTGAAGAGCATGGTGTGAACAAGTTGATCTCTCGAGCAAGTGCTAGTGTGGAAATCAGATCTATAACTTGTAGCAACTACAATTTCTTTTCTAAAACGGCTTATTTTTTAAAAGTAGATTGAGTTATGAACATGAAACCTCTCGTGCAAACGAACAAAATAAAATTGGATTATTCAAAATGTAATATTTGGTTGTGAATCACATGGAATGATATTATATTAAAGTTAGAATTTGATTCAAATTGGAAAATGTAATAGAAAATAAAAAAAAAGATCATCGTTCAAAGGTAGGTTTTAAATGAATAGTGAAACTTGGCATTGACACGTAATGGTATATGTGATTTAAAATACCTACAAAATTGACTTACTATTTATATTTTCTTAAAATAATACTATGTTTTATTTACACGTTTGTTCACAATAGTCTCATATTAAAGGAGGAACTTGTTGGGAAGAAACAATGTCAATCTTAAGTTTATGGGCCGTCACTCATATGACGGTCGTTCAATGCAACAAAATGTTTAGCATTCCTTCAGCAACACCAATTTTTTTTATATAAAATATTTAGAGCCCGATCCGAAAAAATCTCTCACCCTGAACCGTGGAAGAGTTGAAATTACGACCTTTATAGAATAAGATAAGATGTCAACCCTTATAATCAATCATGGTGAACATCAATTCTTGGTTAGAATACAAGCCAGTTGAAACTTTATGTGTACAAGAGCTCAGCTCGTCAATTTTTTTTATTAACACTCATTTTCTCCGAGTTTGGGATCGACTACTTAATTTTCGAGTTAGCAAAATTAAAATTGTACACGAGCAACTTGTTATATGTACACTTTTATTTTTTTTAAAAAATGAATACAATATTGTTAAGAAAATAAGAAAATAGGAATATGATAAAATTAAATATCATTTACTTGACTACATGCAATTTTTACATACTTATTTTGGATTAAAAAAATGAGCATCTTGCAAATTTTTTATGCACATTAATGCTTCCAAAATGTCTTCTTTGAGTCAACTCCTAAAATTGGACAGAGTTCGTTTACTACATCAAAAGCAGACTTCGAAACTACAGTGCTAACAGAAGATGTTAATAAATCTTCTGCAATAATATAAAAAAGGGGATATCTTTGTTCGTTACATCGCCAAAAATGAAATCAAATTGTATTACATCAACACGTTCTACATTCCTAAGTATTTGATGATTAAAATATCTATGTAATTCAGCAGGCATTCCTGTTGGACCAGCGTTCAATGTCTAATTATATGAAGGAGACATACTAAAAGAACCTGCATTAAATCTTTCATCCTAACACCTGCAATATAAATTCACTATTTCTGCATCGTCTTCTTAAAGATTAACGGAAGGGGTAGGTATGGAGGGTGCTCGACTAACATTTGCATCCAATCAGTGTACATACAATTCATACATGGAAGTTAATGTGTTTTCTAAATTAAAATAAGTGACAGGTGCACCAAAATTTAAAGCATTAGTGATTTGTCTAATAACATATTTAGTGCCTTTCAAATTGTACGGGGTCCATTACGTATGCCAAAGGAAATTACATAAATAAGTCTTCCCAATATTTTCAAAACTTTAGTTCTATATAATTCAATATTTCAGTAAAATCGACCTGATTTCTGTATTTATTAAAAGTTATTTCAATGACAAAATGAACTATAGAACTAGTGTGATAGCATACAGATATTTGTAAAATCATAAAAACTTGTTAAAAATCTTTTAACTTTAAAAGCTAATTCTCAATCACTATTAGTGAAAACAAATCCATCATTAGCATTACTTGTATGTCTAGAATTATAAAATTTTGTAATTAAATGTTCATATCATTTACATGATTTTAGGAATAAGTGGTGTTCCATTAATACATTACGACAGCTACAAATATTTTTTTGGAATCCATACTAAATTGAGCACAATATTCTTTGAATAGTTGTTTTGAGCTTGGTGATATAGTGATATATATTAATACATCTCTAGTTCTACCCATTTGATCTTTAATATATTTCATATCATCTTCCACAATTAAATTAAAGATACGACACACACAATGAACATGAAATAGAAAACAATCAAAATCAGGATTAAAAAACCCATATAGTTTATCTATAACAAGCTTACTAACACTAGCATTATCCAACGTAAAAGAGTGAATTTTATTTTCATAATGATATTTTCTTGAAAATTTGATTAAGAGTATTAAATATATTGTTAGCATTATGATGAGACTCAATTATATTAAAAGCAATTATATTTTTATGCATAATCCAAAGTGAGTCTATGTAGTGTGCAGTTGCAATTATATAACTTTTTTTTTTTATGATTAATACTATCCCATAAATTCGAAGTAAACGATACAATGCTCTACGGTATAGGAACGGAGAGTGTTTCCATTTAACCCCAACGTACATTTATTGAAGATATTCGTTCACGAACAGTGTGAAATGTTTGTTGTCCACTATGCTTAACAAGTACTCGGCATTGACAACGAATTTTACCATTCATTCACGAATATTTTTCCTTTGAATACATCCAGGTACTAAGCTCTTGTTTGATTTCCATTATTTTCAAATTACATTTTTCTCTTTCTTTTGTTCAACCACACATTCTTCAAAGTTGAAACTGTCACAAAACCTTGAAAAATTAGATTGGGCTCGCCGCAAGCGACTCACCTTACTCAGCGATCTGAGCTTAGCTCATCGTTCGAGCCACCCGTTTGGCTCGTGCTCGTCCCAAAATGAGCCTTAGCCACCAATGAGCTGATCCTGGACGAGGGACTTAGCTCTTTTGCCATCTCTAGCAAAACCCCGACTTCCATTATCACTTATAACTGTAGGCACCTATTCGCTCACTCTAATAATTTAATTGCAACGCACATTTAAAAGTCAAAATGAAATTCTTTATCACTATATAATGTATTACGGGGAAAAGAGCTAATTTTTTTTTTTTTTAGCACATAATCCATTATCAAAATCCTTGTACCACAATCAATATATTTTTTTAAAAAATCACATGAAATTCTTTATGTTCGCATATGTACAAAATACATACACATAATTTGAAATACAATGAAATCTATGAATACTATTGATAGGCATAAACTATTAATGTCGTGGCATTTCAGGGATTCTCAAAAGAAAAACATTCTCTACAAGGACCAAGTCAGGTTCGAAAACTCAGACATTTATGTTAATGGTCCATATTTTATGACATATGTTATAGAACGTGAATCACCAAGTATTAAAGACTCCATCTTTTGTCCAAATCATAAGAAAATTAATAAAACTGAATTGGAGTAAAATTTTAAAAATAACACATGGCAATCGATCTATCTAACAAACCGAGCAAAACTAAGCAAGTGCCAAATGTTTTTCCCATGTTTGGTTTAGCTAAAAATGTTGACAAAAATCTAAGTTAAAATCAATAATTAATTATAACAACACATTTCACGAAACTCACAACTTTTATTAACGAATTACATGTTTCATCAACTTTAATCGAAATATACAAAAAATCTGATTTGTAGAAAATAGAACGACGACTATATTAAAGTTAGATTGGACTTTTCTCTTCATATTAGAGTATTTTTCACATAAAATCGGGCACGCTCGTATAATTTAGTTTCTTTGTTGGTTTTGTCGTACCCAAATAAAGGAAAATCGTGGCACATCAATCGGCGATTTTTCCGAATACTAACTATAATATTTTGATAGTCCAAAATCTCCCAACAAAAAAGTTCTATTCATATGGACAATGTTCAAAATAGTACCAACTTTCAATAATTCATAGTCTAGTAGGGAATTTTACCGTTAATAGGTTGCTTTTTTTTTGCCTTGTATAATTGATTGTGGGCCCGTTTGATTCTCATTATTGTAGAATGAGAATGAAAAATATAACCGTTATTTGACCCTACAAAAGAGAGAAAAATTCAAAATTGATGGCTTGATATGATGGATAACGATGATATTTTTCATTTTTATAGTTGAAAAATGAGAAACAAACAATGCATTTAGAGTTCAAATGTGCCTCATATTGCCCCCACACATAATTAAACATGCTGCGTGCACCACGCTTCACATTAAAATATGAAAACAATTCTTGCAACGTGTTGATTGCCCAACCCTACTCTCTAATTTTTGAAAATATTATTGGTTATTCGACAATTTTAGAATCACGTGGAGATATTATTTGATTTTATGAGAAAATACTATTTGGAGTAGGTTG